GGAAGGTTAAGGGGCCGAAAGAAGTAACGATTTATAAGGACATGCCGGTGAAGGACCAACCGAACCTATAAAGGGACCCTCAAGAAACTTGGAAGGACATAACAAAGGACAATTACACCAAGGCACGGTAAGAATATCGAACTTTCCGGAATGAAAGTTCTTGAGAGGAGGAGAATTTGTACGACTCCTTAATAAGTTTAAGTTGCTCAAAGGTTTAAGGGATCCGAGGAAAGGATTAAGACCCGAGGAAGGTTAAGGGCTCAAAAGAAGAGATTAAAGTTTATAAGGACATGCCGGAGAAGGACCAACCTATAAAAGGACCCTCAAGAAACTTATTAGACGGACATAACTAAGGATAATTTCACCAAGGAAAGGTAAGAATAGCTTCTGGAAAGCTCGCTATTCTTACCATGTCTTGGTGTAATTGTCTTTAGTTATGTCCTGTTTCTTGAGGATCCCTTTATAGGTTGGTCCTTCTCCGGCATGTCCTTATAAACCCTAATCACTTCTTTCGGCCCCATAACCTTCCTTGGGTCTTAATCCTTTCCTTAGATCCCTTCAACCTTGACCAACTTAAACTTATTAAGGAGTCGTACAAATTCTCCTCCTCTCAAGAACTTCCATTCCGGAAAGTTCGATATTCTTACCGTGCCTTGGTGTAATTGTCCTTTGTTATGTCCTTCCAAGTTTCTTGAGGGTCCCTTTATAGGTTCGGTTGGTCCTTCACCGGCATGTCCTTATAAACCTTAATCTATTCTTTCGGCCCCCTAGGACCAACCGAACCTATAAAGGGACCCTCAAGAAACTTGGAAGAACATAAACCTTAATCTATTCTTTCGGCCCCTTAACCCTTCTTGGGTCTTAATCCTTTCATTGGATCCCTTAAACCTTTTGCAACTTAAACTTACTAGGGAGTCTTACAAATTCTCCACCTCTCGTGAACTTTCATTCCGGAAAGTTCTCTATTCTTACCTTGTCTTGGTGTAATTATCCTTAGGGAGTCTTACAAATTCTCCACCGGAGTCTTACAAATTCTCCACCTCTCAAGAACTTTCATTCCGGAAAGTTCTCTATTCTTACCTTGTCTTGGTGTAATTATCCTTAGTTATTCTCCACCTCTCAAGAACTTTCATTCCGAAAAGTTCTCTATTCTTACCTTGTCTTGGCGTAATTATCCTTAGTTATGTCCTTCCAAGTTTATTGAGGCTCCCTTTGTAGGTTAGGTTGGTCCTTCTCCGGCATGTCCTTACAAACCTTAATCTCTTCTTTCGGACCCTTAACCTTCTTTGGGTCTTAATCCTTTCCTTGAATCTCTTAAACCGTTGGTCCTTCTCCAGCATGTCCTTACAAACCTTAATCTCTTCTTTCGGACTCTTAACCTTCTTTGGGTCTGAATCCTTTCCTTGAATCTCTTAAACGTTGACCAACTTAAACTTATTAGAGAGTCTTACAAATTCTCCTCCTCCAAATTAACCTTTTTTGGGTCTTAATCCTTTCCTTGGATCCCTTCAACCTTGACCAACTTATAAACTTATTAGGGAGTCTAACAAATTCTCCTCATCCAAAGAACTTTCAATCCGGAAAGTTCGCTATTCTTAGCTTGCCTTGGTGTAATTGTGTTTAGTTATGTCCTTCCGGATCCCTTAAACCTTGACCAACTTAAACTTATTAGGAAGTCTTACAAATTCTCCTCATCCAAAGAACTTTCAATCCAGAAAGTTCGCTATTCTTAGCTTGCCTTGGTGTAATTGTGCTTAGTTATGTCCTTCCAAGTTTCTTGAGGGTCCCTTTATAGGTTAGGTTGGTCCTTCTCCGACATGTCCTTATAAACCTTCGTCTATTCTTTCGGCCCCTTAACCTTCCTTGGATCTTAATCCTTTCCTTGGATCCCTTAAACCATCCGTATAAACCTTCATCTATTCTTTCGGCCCCTTAACCTTCCTTGGATCTTAATCCTTTCCTTGGATACCTTAAACCGTCCTTATTCTTTCGGCCCCTTAACCTTCCTTGGATCTTAATCCTTTCCTTGGATACCTTAAACCGTCCTTATAACATCTATTCTTTCGACCCCTTAACCTTCCTTGGATCTTAATCCTTTCCTTGGACCCCTTGAACCTTAACCAACTTAAACTTACTGGAGAGTCTTACAAATTTTCTTCATCTCAAGAACTTCTATTTCAGAAAGTTCGCTATTCTTACCTTCTCTTGGTTCCTTAGGTCCCTTAAACCTTAACCAACTTAAACTTAATGGAGAGTCTTACAAATTTTCTTCATCTCAAGAACTTCCATTCCGGAAAGTTCGCTATTCTTACCTTCTCCGGCATGTCCTTATAAACCTTAATTTATTCTTTCAATCTATTCTTTCGGCCCCTTAACCTTTCTTTAGTCTTAATCCTTTCCTTGGATCTCTTAAACCTTTTGCCACTTAAACTTAAAAGGGAGTCTTATAAATTTTCCACCTCTCAAGAACTTTCATTCCAAGGGAGTTATAAGTTTTCCACCTCTCAATAACTTTCATTTCGGAAAGTTCGTTATTCTTACCCTACCTTGTTGTAATGGTCCGTAGTTATATCCTTCCAAGTTTCTTGAGGGTCTCTTTATAGGTTGGTCCTTGCCCTTATAAACCTTAATCTCTTCTTTCGGACCCTTAACCATCATTTGGGCTTAATCCTTTCCTTGGATCCCTCAAACCAAACCAACTTAAAACTTATTAGGGAGTCTTACAAATTCTCCTCCTCTCAATAACTTTCATTTCAGAAAGTTCACTATTCTTTTCATTTCGGAAAGTTCACTATTCTTACCTTGCCTTGGTGTTAGTTATATGTCCTTCCAAGTTTCTTGAGGATCCCTTTATAGGTTAGGTTGGTCTTTCTCCGGCATGTCCTTGTAAACCTTAATCTATTATTTCGGTCACTTAAAAATCTATTATTTCATTTCAGTCCCTTAAAAATCTATTATTTCATTTCGGTCCCTTAACCTTTCTTGGGTCTTGATCCTTTCCTTGGATCCCTTAATCCTATTCTTTTCATTTCGAAAAGTTCACTATTCTTACTTGCCTTGGTGTAATTGTCCTTAGTTATACGTCCTTCCAAGTTTCTTGAGGATCCCTTCATAGGTTAGGTTGGTCTTTCTCCAGCATGTCCTTATAAACCTTAATCTATTATTTCGGTCCCTTAACCTTTCTTGGGTCTTGATCCTTTCCTTGAATCCCTTAATCCTATTCTTTTCATTTTGGAAAGTTCACTATTCTTACCTTGCCTTGACGTAATTGTCCTTAGTTATACGTCATTCCAAGTTTCTTGAGGATCCCTTAATAGGTTAGGTTGGTCCTTCTCCGGCATGTCCTTATAAACCTTAATTTATTATTTCGGTACTATTCTTACCTTGCCTTGGCGTAATTGTCCTTAGTTATACGTCCTTCCAAATTTCTCGAGGATCCCTTTATAGGTTAGGTTGGTCATTCTCCAGCATGTCCTTATAAACCTTAATCTATTATTTCTGTCCCTTAACCTTTCCTTAGGTCTTGATCCTTTTGCAACTTAAACTTACTGGGGAGTGTTACAAATTTCCCACCTAGAACTTTCATTCTATTCTTAGAATAGTTATGTCCTTTCAAGAGGGTCCTTTTTATAAGTTGGTCCTTCTCTTGCATCTCCTAATAAACCTTAATCTCTTCTTTCGGCCCCTTAAATTTAACCTTCCTTCGTCTTCTTTCGGACCCTTAACCTTAACCTTCCTTCCTTGGGTCTTCTTTCACTTAACCTTAACCTTCCTTCCTTAGGTCTTCTTTCGGACCCTTAACCTTAACCTTCCTTCCTTGGGTCTTCTTTCACTTAACCTTAACCTTCCTTCCTTGAGTCTTTTTCAGACCCTTAACCTTCCTTCCTGGGTCTTCTTTCAGACCCTTAACCTTAACCTTTCTTGGCTCTTAATCCTTTCCTTGGATTCCTTAAACCTTACCCTTCCTGGACTCTTAATCCTTTCCTTTGATTCCTTAAACCTTAATAAACTTAAACTTATTAGGGAGTCTCTCCTCCTCACAAGAACGGGAGTCTTACAAATCCTCCTCACAAGAGAACGAGAGTCTTACAAATTTTCCTCCGCCTTCCTTGGGCCTTCTTTCAGACCCTTAACCTTCCTTCCTTGGGCCTTCTTTCAACCTTCCTTCCTTGGGCCTTCTTAATCCTTTCCTTGGATTCCTTAAACCTTGACCAACTTAAACTAACCTTCTTGGGCTCTTAATCCTTTCTTTGGATTCCTTAAACCTTGACCCTTCCTGGGCTCTTAATCCTTTCCTTGGATTCCTTAAACCTTGACCAACTTAAACTTATTAGAGAGTCTTACAAATTCTCCTCCTCACAAGAACGGGAGTCTTACAAATTCTCTTCCTCACAAGAACGGGAGTCTTACAAATTCTCCTCTTACAAATTCTCCTCCTCACACGAACTTTTCAAGTTCGCTATTTTTACCTTGCCTTGGTGTAATTATCCTTAGTTATGTCCTTCAAGGACCCTTAACCTTAACCTTCCTTGGTCTTCTTTCGGAACCTTATCCTTGGTTTCTTTCGGGCCCTCAACCTTCCTTCCTTCGGTCTTCTTTCAGACCCTCAACCTTCCTTCCTTGGCCTTCTTTCAGACCCTCAACCTTCCTCCCTAGGGCCTTCTTTCAGACCCTTGACCTTCCTTCCTTGGGCCTTCTTTCAGACCCTTGACCTTCCTTCTTTGGGCCTTCTTTCGAGGGTCCATTTATAGGTTTGTCCTTCCTTCAGGCATGTCCTTATAAACCCTTAACCTTAACCTTCTTTGGGTCTTCTCCATTTATAGGTTGGTCCTTCTCCGGCATGTCCTTGTAAACCTTAATAAGGACCCTTAACCTTAACCTTCCTTAACCTTCCTTGGTCTTCTTTCGGACCCTCAACCTTCCTTCCTTCGGTCTTCTTTCAGACCCTTGACCTTCCTTCCTTGGCCTTCTTTCAGACCCTTGACCTTCCTCCCTTGGGCCTTCTTTCAGACCCTTGACCTTCCTTCTTTGGGTCTTCTTTCGAGGGTCCATTTATAGGTGGGTCCTTCCTCCGGCATGTCCTTATAAACCCTTAACCTTAACCTTCTTTGGGTCTTCTTTCAGACCCTTAACCTTAACCTTCTTTGGGTCTTCTTTCGGACCCTTAACTTTCCTTATTAAGGGTCTACTTTCCTTGTAATTGTTCTTAGTTATGTCCTTCCAACTCCTCTCGAGAACTATCATTCTTGAAAGTTCGTAGTGTAATTATCCTTAGTTATGTCCTTCCAACTCCTCTCAAGAACCATCATTCTTGAAAGTTCGCTATTCTTAGCTTACCTTGGTGTAATTGTCCTTAATTATGTCCTTCCAACTCCTCTCAAGAACTATCATTCTTGAAAGTTCGCTATTCTTAGCTTGCCTTGGTGTAATAGTTACTAGTTATGTCCTTCCAAGTTGTCCATTTATAGGTTGGTCCTTCTCCGACATGTCCATTAAGAACCCTCAACCTTCCTTCCTTCCTTGGTCTTCTTTCGGACCCTCAACCTTCCTTCCTTAGACCCTTAACCCTCCTTCCTTAACCTTCCTTCCTTGGTCCTTCTTTCAGACCCTTGACCTTCCTTCCTTGGGCCTTCTTTCAGACCCTTGACCTTCCTTCCTTGGGCCTTCTTTCAGACCCTTGACCTTCCTTCCTTGGGCCTTCTTTCAGACCCTTGACCTTCCTCCCTTGGGCCTTCTTTCAGACCCTTGACCTTCCTTCCTTGGGCCGTTGGGCCTTCTTTCGGACCCTTGACCTTCCTTCCTTGGGCCTTCTTTCGGACCCTTGACCTTCCTTCTTTGGGCCTTCTTTCAGACCCTTGACCTTCCTTCTTTGGGCCTTCTTTCGACCCTTGACCTTCCTTCTTTGGGCCTCCTTTCGAGGGTCCATTTATAGGTTGTCCTTCCTCCGGGCATGTCCTTATAAACCCTTAACCTTCATTCCGGGTCTTCTTTCAGACCCTTAACCTTCATTCCGGGTCTGCTTTCAGACCCTTGACTTTCCTTCTTTGGGTCTGCTTTCAGACCCTTAACTTTCATCCAGACTTTCATCCAGTTCGCTATTTTTAGCTTGCCTAGGTGTAATTGTCATTAGTTATGTCCTTCCAACTCCTCTAGAGAACTATCATCCTTGAAAGTTCGCTATTCTTAGCTTGCCTTGGTGTAATAGTTACAGTTATTCTTGTCATTAGTTATGTCCTATATGAGTAATGAAAAAAATAATTATGCATTGATCTTCAATTCAGACAAATCATTAAGTTGAACAAAGAAAGTACCTTTGACTTCAATCACTTTGCCCTGGACTCAAATGAGTCTCAAAAATTGACCCGGGCACTAGTATATCTCTCATATTGTTCATCATCATGACCTAGAGAAATGTTCATAAGAGCAAATTCAAAACCCGAAAGCTCATTCTCAAAAACTTTAGTGGTTGAAAAGCAAAATGATTCAACCTAACGAATTTCATCAATCATAAATATGAATGTATATAACAAGTTAACCTCGGCCTGAGTCTCAACTGTGTTGGCTAGCTTTGAAACTGCCACTCAACTAAACTATGAGGGCCTTACGACTAATGAGTGCAAAAGTTGAAGTAAAACCCTTCATTTATGTTGAAATCATAAGCAAATAAAAAAATAAAAGTGCATCAAATCATCCCCAACAGGAAAAAGCCATACATCCTCATACGGGCACTAAATACGATACAAGGCACAAGGCACCTGTTTTTCCATAAATTCTGGCTGAGTTCTATAAGAAGCATTGTCTAAATTGGCTCGACAGAGAGGATGGTAACTGTGCCGATAAGATTCTATATTCTTTAATATAGTTTATTTCATTGCAACCCAAGCTAGCAACAATTACATTTTGGAATTTTCTTAATTGCTGCACGCTATGGCCTCAAAAAATATGGTGTGAAGAACTTATGGAAGTTAAAAGGACAGTAATTCCATGGTTCTTCATTGAGCAAGGGAGGAACCTTCAGAACTTGTTCCTTGTAGAAAAACGACTTTCACGATATTAGGCGTTTTGATTCATCATTTACTTTCAGTACATCTTTTTTCAAGAGTTGTAAAACCGAAGATCAATAAAGCAGCTAAAGCTACAATTCACAACTTCACAGCCAACAAATAATAAAAATAAAGCTTAAATTCAACTTAACATCCTTGGGCTTGGAATCATACCAGTATTCCAAGCAGATGCGAAAATCCCACCGGCCTCCATGACAGGACCAACTGCTTTTCTTTTGCCCAAGTAATCGCTTCATAAAGAGAAACTGCTTTGCTCTTCCCCTCCTGTTATCGGAACCAATCGCAATGACATAAGAGTTCCTCGTCCTCCTCTCTTCTGCCAACACATAAATTTGAGTATCAGATTTGTCCCCACACAGAGAAGAGATAGAAGATGACGGGGAATGAAACGAAGAGTCCAAGACAATAATCACGTTACCATGGAAACGAACAATGAACCTACTAAAAACGCCCTAATCCTCCGTAATCGAAACCACGAAAAGTTTCAATAAACCCCTAAACCCTAATAGCCGGCTGTGCCCTTAAAATTTCAAATCCAGAACAGATTAGGTTGAAATTAAGTTGCATTACCTTGATTTTTCATCCTCAAGAGGAGGCGAGAAACTTCTTTCGATTCTGCTCTCTCTTCCTCCGATTGCTTGGTAATTATCTAGCGTTTGATTTCGGCAACGAACGTTCAAAAGGGAAGAGGCCGTTGATGGGAGCGTTCTGATTCGAGTGTGGGAATGTGCTGAAGAAGAGAGTGTGAGTGAGGGAGGGTCGGATATATATATGATCCGTGTGAAATCCGCAGGGGCCGATACAGCTGGCGATGGGGTCAACGGCCCTGAAGACCGTTTGGCTCTGAACGTGGAAAACCGTCGACGATAAAAACGGCTACGTAATCTAATCGATCCACGTTTTCTTCCGTAGTTTTAGGGATTTTTCGGATATTTCTTTTTACCAATATTTTGTTTAGTTTAAAAAAATGAAATAAATCTTGTACAACAAGTATTGTTTTTCTTTTTCTTTTTTTTCTTTTTCGTTAACAAATTCGCCCAATTAACCAGAAACTCGAACCAAATCCATTCGTGTTCTAAAAATTAACCCGATCCAATCCTACCTGTATAATTTAAGTTGGTTAGTTCGGGTTGAATGTACCCTCTTAATACTCAATACTTTAAATATTGTTAAAATGAATTTTTTTCAAAATAAATATAGATAAATATTTTAAATGGCAATTCAAACGCATACCAGTTCAGAGTTTTTTTTTTTTTTTTTTTTTTTTTTTTTTTTTTTTTTTTTTTTTTTTTTTTTTTTTTTTTTTTTT